CTCACTAGTCGTCCCTCACTAGTCACCATCCCTCACTGGTCGTCCCTCACTAGTTGTCCCTCACTGGTCATCCCTCACTAGTTGTCCCTCACTGGTTGTCCCTCACTAATTGTCCCTCACTGGTCGTCCCTCACTAGTCGTCCCTCACAAGTCGTCCCTCACTAGTTGTCCCTCACTGGTCGTCCCTCACTAGTTGTCCCTCACTGGTCGTCCCTCACTAGTCGTCCCTCACTAGTTGTCCCTCACTAGTCATCTTGTCCTCCTGCCCTCCTGCTGTCCTCTGTCTCTCTTCTGGTCCTCCTCCTGTCCTCTGGTCCTGCTACTGTCCTCTGGTCCTCCTGCTGTCCTCCCGCTGCCCTCATCCTGTCCTCCTCCCCTCCTCTGGTCCTCCTACTGTCCTCCTCCTGTCTTCTGGTCCTGCTACTGTCCTCTGGTCCTCCTCCTGTCTTCCTGCTGCTTTTGTCCTGTCCTCCTCCTTTCCTCTGGTCCTCCTACTTTCCTCATCTTGTCCTCCTCCTGTCCTCCTGCTGCCTTCATTCTGTCCTCCTCTGGTCCTCCTACTGTCCTCCTCTGGTCCTCCTACTGTCCTCCTCTTCTCCTCTGGTCCTGCTACTGTCCTCTGGTCCTCCTCCTGTCCTCCTGCTGCCCTCATCCTGTCCTCCTCTGGTCCTCCTACTGTCCTCATCCTCTCCTCTGGTCCTCCTCCTCCTGTCCTCCTCCTGCCCTCGTCCTGTCCTCCTCCTGTTCTCATCCTGTCCTCCTCCTGCCCTCGTCCTGTCCTGTCCTCGCCCTGTCCTTTGGTCCTCCTCCTGTCTTTGTCCTCCTGTCCTCCTCCTGTGACCCACAGTGGGGGTTGGGAGCCACAGGTTGGAAACCAGTGACCGAGGTAACTAAAATACATGTACTCAGTTTCTCAGTTACTCAGTAGAGTCTGAGGTACTTTGACTTCACTGCAGGTTTTTACTGAACTCCAGATTCAGATCATTGAAACTAAACTGATCGATTGATTGATTAATGTCCCTCAGGATTAATAACAAATCTGTCTACGGAATATGATCAATAATCAATCATGATGTCTCAGGATATTTAAAGTCATTAAAATGAGCTGATACTGTGTGTGTGTGTGTGTGTGTGTGTGTGTGTGTGTCTGTCTGTCTGTCTGTGTCTGTGTGCTCTGCAGCAGAACCTTCAGTGTGATTCTGCACAAGCTCATTGTTCCTGCGGAGTCACTACAGGGGCGTCAACACCGAGAACACAGAGTCCAGTGTGAGAGGAGGAGGAGGAGGAGAGAGAGAGTCCACGCGGTCACTGAACGCCTTTGTGCTCTCAGACACCTCCGGACTCTGCAGCGGGAGGACGCAGCGAGCCTCGGCGGACAGACAGGGGGAGAATCCCGGCTTCAGCGGCCGCCGCGCCCCGCTGGAGGAGGATGGAGGATCCGGAGGGAGGTTTGTGAAACAGGAGCTGCGTGTGTGAAGAGGGAGAGGAGGAGGAGGAGGAGGAGGAGGAGGAAAACTTGAAACAACAGACAGAATAAAGGAGGAGAGGAGGAGTAAAGGGGCGTTGATTGTAGCAGAGGAAGTCGTCTGGATCTGTGACGGGACCCGGATCGATCCGGATCAAATGGAGGCCGGAGAGGGGAGGCAGTCCGACACATACTCCGGGGATGTGAGCTCACACCTCGGCTCAGCAGCCGCAGACATGTCGCATGACATCAGCGCAGACAACTGCTACGAGCTGCTGACAAAAGCCAAGCGCGCGGGCGCGGAGGGCGAGCGGGACCGGATCTACCGTTACATGAGCGACCACTTCCTGCAGGTGCTGCGGAGCCCCGGGGTGTACGGCCGGCTCACCGCGGGGGAGAGGGAGCTCATCTTGGCCCGCAGGATGGAGGGGACCAAGGTGCTGGCGGTGGCGGAGAGCAGCGAGGTGACTGACCGCGTGGGGAGCCGGGAGAACAGCCGGCCGCAGAGCCCGCTGCTGGCCGCCCCGGAGGACACCGGACACCGGCGGGTGTTGTTCCTCCACCCGGAGCGGCAGCAGTGGGAGGTGCTGACCAGCCTGCCGGAGGAGATCCCGGCCAAAGGCTCCGGGATGTGCACCATGTATAACTACCTGTTCGTGGCGGGGGGCATGAGGGCGCACGGGGACGGCCGCTCCAAAGCGTCGGACCGGGTGTTCTGCTTCAACCCGCGGACCGGCCTGTGGAGCCAGGTCCGGCCTCTGAGCCAGCCCCGCTGCCAGCTGCGGCTGGTCTCCATGGACGGACACCTGTACGCCATCGGAGGGGAGTGTCTGTTCACGGTGGAGCGCTACGACCCGCGCGCGGACAGGTGGAGTCCGGTGGCGCCACTGCCCAAAGGCTCCTTTGCCGTTGCGCACGAGGCGACGTCGTGCGGCGGGGAGCTGTTCGTGTCCGGTGGCTCGCTCTTCTACCGGCTGCTGCGGTACGACTCCCGCCGGGACGAGTGGGAGGAGTGTCCGTTCAACGAAAGCCGGCGCCGCTCCACCGACATGGTGGCGCACCGCAGCCTCGTGTACCGCTTCGACGTGGACCGGGAGCGCGCAGGTGTGAGCGTGTACAAGTACAACACGGTGGTGAAGGCGTGGCACGGCGGCGCCTTCTTCCCGCTCCACAACCCGCTGCCTTTCCGCTGTGCGGTGCTCGGGGACCGGATCTACTGCGTCAACCGGAACCAGGCGGTGCAGTTCGAGGTCCGGGAGGAGCGCGAGGAGCAGGAGGGCTTCCTGCCGGAGCTGCTGCCCTCCCCCCCGGACACCAGAGGGGCCCTGGTGCCCTTCGTCCTCTGTCTGGACCGGGACCACTGAGGGGGCCCGGGACAGATCCGGCATGGTTCGGGACTGAAGAGGCCCGGGACAGATCCGGGACTGTGAGCTGAAGGAGTCCAAACAACAGCTGTGCCTTTTTCTTTAACTCTTTAACTCCTGATTAACAGAAACTTTAGCTTCACTTGTTGCTGCATGGAAAAAAAAAAAAAATCAGCTGATGAAAGATGAGAGGAAGTGACGTCAGCTGTTTGGAGTAAATGAATGTTGATGTTTGATGCAGTTTGTCAGAAGCTGAAACCTGACGTCACAACTTATTTATGTTTCTTTATAATTAACAGAAAGAAAATAAAGTTATAAAAGATAATTCAGTGTTTTTAATGACGTCACAGACGAAACCACAGAATCTAACATGTGTTGTCAGAAACATCTGGAGCGCCTCAGTCACATTTATCTGAAGGTTCTGCATCAAACACAGCGTCACATAAACTCTGAAAATAAACTCAAAAAAACCTTAAATATAGAAAATGTAACGTGAGCCCTGTGAGACGTTCATGGACACGTCTTTATCTCTGTCATGTGGAGACGCAGGTCGACTGAAGGTTGGCATCATCTGTAATCAGAGAACCTGAGACACCTTAAGTTTTCTCCTTAAGTATGACACTTAATTTCTCCTCAGCTGAGGGACAGTTGCACAGAATCCCCAAAAATGTTTCCTTAGTTAAGGACAAACATTAAGTAATTCGCTGTGTAGAAAGAGATTTTACAGCGGTGACAGTTTCCATGGATACTGTTTGTTTGTGACGCCTGTTATCATCTCACAGAGTCGTCTTATCGTACGATGGTGAAAAACTGTCAGAAGAAAAGAAGAGAATAGAAGCAGACAGGTGAGAGGAGGAAGAGATGAAACTTAATATAATATTAATCTTTTAATAGTTTTCAGTGTTTGAGCCAAAATGAAAATCTGATGAATGTTTTTGTTTGTAAAGTGATTGAGAATATTAATTTATGATTGAACCAAAATAACCTCACACACACACACACACACACACACACACACACACACACGAGGACGAGACATTTACAAGCAGCAGCTGGATAACATAACATAACATAACATAACATAACATAACATCTGCTGATGAGTTGTTGCAGCATTTTTTGGGTTGTTACAGATTTGCTTTTAAATTTAAGATTTCTCACCAGTGAAGAATTAATAAATATGTTCAAATCACCACATGAACACACAGAGAGAAACACCAGAGAAAAATCTCTGCTGAGATTTGGAATCAGAAACTGTTTTTCTATCAGACTCATCAGTGACTGGAAACAAAGCTGAGAGAGTCAAACATCCTCTTAGTGTTTGATGATGCTGTGGTCAGAGGTCACTACAGGTCGTTGATACAGTGATGTCATGTTTCAAAGAGCAGGTCTGAAATAACTGACATCATCACACAGGAAAGAAACTGAGCTCATTAAATCAACACGAGTCTCAGCTTCACACTCAGACCTGATTTATGTGATGAATGAATGAATTTCTATTATAGTGTCATGCAGCAGACACGCCCCGCCCACATGAGCTGACAACACCCCATAAAATCAGAGCGAGCAGAAAGTCAGACACAACAAAATCATCAATATGACAATAATAATAATACATTTTATTTCTGGGCGCCTTTCATGACACTCAAGGTTGCCTTACAGAGTAAAATGCAATAAAGTACAAAGTACGAGATAATTAAACATTTAACAACAAACAAACAAACAAACAAACAAACAAACAGTTCAACCATAAACAAAACATCTGTTCAGGGTTACACACTCAAAGAGCAGGAGAACCTGAACAAAGACAGATCACAGTGTGAACACACCTGAACTCTATGATGTGTGTGTGTGTGTGTGTGTGTGTGTGTGAGACAGCAGGTGGGTGGAGCTTAGGACCATAAACATACCAGAGAGCTGACACACACACACACACACACACACACACACACACACACACACACTGTCTCACCAGGTCCTGCTGAGTCCATCTGTTCAGTCTCTGAAGGTCAAACTGAGTCGTCTGTTGTCTCCCTGCAGCAGCTTCTTCATCTTCATCATCGTCATCATCTTTGCTGTTGAACAGAAACATTTTCTTGTATTGATCTTTGTTTTTATATTTCATTACTGGTTTGATAAATGATTCCATAATCAGACTGAGTGTGACATCACTTCCTGTGCTGACAGACCTTGATCAGAGACGTTTGAGTAGAAATGTTTTTAATTTCACTTTAATAAAGAAAAACTGACACGTTTAACTGTTTGACAAGGACAGACGTCAGAGCTGGGCTGGAGACAAACCTCATCCTGCTGCTTTAGTCCATTTACACACCATGATGATGAAGATGATGATGATGATGATGATGATGAAGATGTTTCTGTGGCTTGATTTGATTCAGCAGGAAATAGGAACCTGAGGGAGGAGAGACAAAGACAGAGGAAGAGGACTCAGTGAGACCATAAACAAACAGTCCACAATCATTCAGGATCATCATCATCATCATCTTCATCAGATACACTGACCTGCTCCAGGTGCTGCGTTCAGGGACCAGAGGACAGAGGAGTTTCTGCTCTGATGAGGAAACAAACGGTGGCTGTGTCGTATCTGTAGCGAGGGATGGTTTGACCATGTCCTGGGTAGAGGACAGTCCTGAGACATTCACAGTGTGACAGCTCAGCCTGGTCTCACTGAGAGGACATGTCTCTGAGGTCAGAGAGGACAGACAGGTCAAACAGTCACAGGACTGTGACCCAGAACACCTCTGTGTTATGTCCTGACAGAAAGTAACCAGTGACTAGTTTGAAGTTATGTACGTATGTAAGATGAAACCATCAGACAGGATTCTTTCCTCAAACTAATCCAAACGGTCAGTTCAGAAGAAATCACATGAGCTGCTGTACGAGGACATGTTGTCCACTGTTCAGACTGCACCTGTCCCTTTAACATTAAATTAGATTTAAAAAAATCAATTAAACCAAATCAAATTAAAATTAATCAAATTATTGTCTGTAAATGTATCAGTTGAGGCTTGATGAAGGTTATTTGTTTGATTCTTGTTCTGTTGTTGTTGTTGTTGTTGTTGTTGTTCCCACAGCGGAAGGCTCTGATCATCAGTCTGCTAAAAGCTTCAGTTTAATAAATCTACTGTGACACAGCTGCAGTGTTTTAGTGAGATTAAACTGTCGACTCTTTATGATCTAAAAGCTTCACTGTGAACTCTCTCTCTCTCTCTCTCTCTCTCTCTCACACACACACACACACACACACACACACACAGGCTGATATATATATATATACATACCCTACAGCATGGGGGGTGGGGGGACATATGTGACTGGTTTATTATTGTGTGGAGGCTGAAACTGTGACAGCAGCTCCTCAGGCTGCAGGAGGACGGGTCATGATTGTCTTAATTGTATTGATCATATTGATCATGTTTCGAGAATCAGGATCATTTTCTTACTGTCTCTCTGCAGTTTGTGTAAGTCAACAGTTTCCTTCCTCTCTGAGCTGCAGGAAGTTGTTACCTAACTCTAAACTGAAACTCCAACAGTTAAACAGCAGGACATTCGGCTGCAGCTCAGCTCGTCACACAGATATATGAGGAGTGCTCTGTTTGTTTTATGCTCTTCTGGCCACTGGGGGGCAGAACAATTTCACATGAGTAAGAGGGGCATCAGGGATCTAAAATTTACGCCGGGTGTTCAGGAACTAAAATGAGTGTGAGGGGCCTCAGGGAACTAAAATGAGCACACGGCATATGGCAATTAAAAATGAGTGCAGGGAGTTCAGGAACTAAAATGAGCAAGGGGAATTAGGGTGCAGGGTGAAGGGCAAAGGGTGAAGGGTGCAGGGTGAAGGGTGCAGGGCGCAGGGTGAAGGGTGAAGGGCAAAGGGTGAAGGGCGCAGGGTGAAGGGTGCAGGTGAAGGGTGAAGGGCGCAGGGTGAAGGGTGAAGGGTGAAGGGCGCAGGGTGAAGGGTGAAGGGTGAAGGGCGCAGGGTGAAGGGTGAAGGGTGAAGGGCGCAGGGTGAAGGGTGCAGGGTGCAGGGTGAAGGGTGCAGGGTGAAGGGTGCAGGGTGAAGGGTGCAGGGTGCAGGGCGCAGGGTGAAGGGTGCAGGGTGAAGGGTGAAGGGTGCAGGGTGCTCATTTGAAGTTGTTCTGCCCCCCAGTGGCCAAGAAGAGCATAAAACAAACAGAGCGCAGCTTAAAGAAGACGTGTCCTCATATATCTGTGTGACGAGCTGAGCTGCAGGGACATGAGAGAGTTTGGAGGGTTTCGTTTGGCACTGGATTAAAAGGTTGGTTCCTGACAGAGCAGAGGAGTCAGACCTCCTCATTAAATCATCTGTCTTTGAGGACGGCGTCACCTGGTGTCCACACACAGAGTTACAGTGTCAATGAAGTTAACAGCTAACTCTTAAATTAATTCATCAGTGAAAAACTGCTTCAAATTAAAACATTTATTCTGTAGTTTCATTTGACACATTCAAAGTTAAAAAACTCAAATATTAAAGAGACAGGAAACAGTTTAAAGTCGTCAGAGGAGGTCACAGAGAGTTCAGTCTGACATTTAAAATCTAAATTAAATCCAGATCTGATCTTCAGACTGTGAACAGTTTGTAATCCTGAAAATCAGCAGATTAAGATTAAAGCTGCTTCAGCTAAGTCACAGGAGGTCAACACAGTAAAACTACTTCCTGTTCTGAAGACTGAAGAAAACTGTCAATCCAACTGAAATATTTCAGTTCCTCCTGTTTTATTTTAGCTGTTTGAAAACTTTTTCTTTTTTAATTTTTTTTTAAAATGCTCATCTGTCCACACTGCTGACGACACACCACAAAAATATGACTCGCATATAAAAACAAAAGATAAAAGCCGTCAGATTTCTCTCCTGATCTTCTGACTAAGCCTGAAGCTTGACACATGAGAACAAACTGAGTCTGGTTTGGATCTCCAGAGAACAGCAGGCCTCAGGCTCAGCTCCAGACATCCCCGGCTGAATCTGCCGGGCGTCCTCACATGGTGAAAGATGAGCCGTTTTCACTGGATCCGTCCACTGAGCGGCGGGTGGACACGTAGACCTTGGAGGTGACCCTGGAGAAGCGGCGCGGGGCGATGTACCTCTTCCCCAGACACCACAGGTCCTGGACGATCCTCCTGAAGTGGTTCCTGAACTTCACCCCGACGAAGGCGTATAGCACCGGGTTCAGGCAGCAGTGCAGGTAGGCGATGCTCTGCGTCACCATCTTGACCATCTGCAGGATGTCCGAGTCTTCGCACGTCTGCAGCTCGAACATGACTGCAGTCTCGTAGAGCAGAGTGATGTTGTAGGGCAGGTGGCAGACGATAAACACCGCCACCACGGCGAACACCACCCGCACCGCCTTGTGCCGCTGGAAGTTTTTGGCTTTCAGCAGAGTGACGATGATGGCGGTGTAGCAGAAGACCATGAAGAGCAGCGGCAGGAAGAAGCCCGCGGCCAGCTGGGTGCTGGGGACGGCTACCTTGGTCTTCCGGGCCGTGGTGTTGTCCATGAACTTGAACTCGCAGACGTAAGCTGGAGGCCTGGACGTCTGGTTGCTGCCCTCGCCCTCGTCCATGAAGGCGTCCTTGCTGTGGGACGGCTCGTACCAGTTGTAGAAGTAGAAGGTGGGGAAGGACAGCAGTAAGGCGGCGGCCCAAACGATGGCGCAGATGAGGCGGCTGTACGGCAGCGAGCGCAGCCTGAAGCTGCGGCGGGCCTGGACAATGGCGATGTAGCGGTCGGTGCTGATGCAGGCGAGCAGCAGCATGCCGCTGTACAGGTTCACGCTGTAGGAGCCGCGCAGCAGCTTGCAGGCCACCGGCCCCATCGACCACGACGACAGCTCATTGTAGACGATGAGAGGCAGCGACACCACGAACAGCAGGTCTGCGATGGCCACGTTGAGCAGGTAGACGTCGGTCATGGATTTGGTCCTCTTGTAGAAGGCGTAGGTGACGATCACCAGGCAGTTCCCAACAAAGCCCAGGATGCAGATGATGGAGTGGATGTACGGGCCGACCACCAGCTCCACGCTCTGGTTGTTCTGGTGAGAACAAGGTCCAACCAGATCGTAGTCATAATCGTCGCTGTAGTTGTAATCTGATTGGTTGGCGTGGTTCATCTTCTTCTTCTTCTACTGTAAACAAAGACACAAGAGAGACAGAACATCAGACTGAGCACTGATGAGGTCTGA